CTTGGAATATCTGGATGCGATCTATTAATACGCATGGCTAATATCATTATTTTGAATATTTTGTCGAAGTTAAAGTCCATTGTACTCAAGATATAACTTTAGCCCTACTGTGTTCCAGAAAAAGTGTAATAGTACCAACAATGTATGTTAATATATGTTATAGAGCAATTTTAATGACAAGGCGATTTTACAAAACACAAGTTAAGGGTAAGCCTTTGCACATATACATACTAATTTATAATTGATATTATTCGTGAAACCCGAAATTCGTGAAGTTAAATGAACTATAAAATTGCTAAATAAATTATTCGCCAATCATATCGAATAATAACATAGATTACATGTCTCAATGTGATTTTATAGGAATGTTACCAATTAACGTTATTTAAAAAATTAAGATTTTTTTTTATTTTAGTGCGCATTTATTACAGAATATTGAAAGTTATTTTTTAGTTTGACTCCTTTTTACTTTGAAGTTTGTCTTAAACTTAAGACAGATGGCTCATTCCGGCAGACAGATCTCTAGCAAAGATATACTTTGGTTCCGCTTTATCACTTATTCTATAATGGATATGAATGAAGCTGAGTTAGTTATTTAGCGCATTTGGAAAATTATCTATACAGATAGATACCTATAAGATGTTATACCAGCTGAACACTGCAGTTTTCTTACCTGTGAGCAACGATATTAAAGCCAGTTTAGCCAAAAATCTTATTTTAAACACAATTTTAACACGCGATATTTTATACTTCTTGAAACAGTATATAATATTATATACTCGGAAAAATTATGCGCATACATGAAATACTCAACTTTGTTTGTTGAAAGGATGTTTAAAATGCTGTATATTAATCGAGATAAAAAATATGATTTATTTGACAGGAAAAAGAATTTGACGTTCGAGTATTCGTTTTATAGATAACCATATAATATTTTTCGATAATATGAAAGGCATGTTTTTGAATTAGATTCCTCATCAAGTTCATTTTATTTAAATCCTTTCATACTGATGATAAGCAAACTCGTTTCAAATTAAGTAATTTTTATTACACCAAATGTCGTACGATTACTTCGTGCTGGAAAATATGCATGCCACGGAGAAGAGAGGAAATCTTCGTCTTAAGAATTTGATTGGAGAGAGACTTTGAGTTTTCCTGTGATGGATCTTGCAAAACTTAGCTCCGACAGCATGGTCATTTTCAACGAGCTTGTCATATTATTAAATATTATATCGTCCATAGGTAAACATTACAAAATTGTGCTACTGAAAGTTTTTAGGGCTTTAAACTTAACGGGGACCGACAGCCGTTTAAAAATTAAAAAAAGTTAAAGTTACAGCTTATATACATCCCACTGCTGAGCACATGCCTCCTCTCATTTCTGAGAGGGTTTTAGGGCAAGGAAGTGTCCGTAGCGCTGCCCCTGTTGGCGAACTTCACATGTCTTCGCAATATTTTTTTTTATTTCTCAGACACTGCTCGCTATGTTTTCCTTCACCGCCGAGCACGTGGTAAATCAGCACTTAAAACTGCAATTAACAATTTCATGGATGCCGACGGGGATCGAACCCGGGATGCTCGCGTAATATGACTTTACAGCGAGCGCTAACCATTTTAGCTACCGCGGCTCCTTACATGAACCTTTTTAGACACGTGTGGGACGATGTGGAGTAGTGCATATTGTTACTCCACCACTATTCAGGAAACTGAAGAACTGAATATCACTTTTATTTTATATTATTTTTGGTATGAAAATTTAAGCGTAGCCTATATTTATATTTAATGCGTAAAATTAGTTTTACGTAGTAAAGCCACGCTATAGCTATATTATGGTTGAAGCACAAATGGGTCAGCTCGAACAGGCAAAAACCACGCTCTCACAGAATACCAGCGTAAAAAAGCAGTTTCTTGCTGCTGTGTTTCATATGGTGAGTATAGAGACTGGAGACATTTAAAAGGATTAAATTAAAATGGACATTTAATTCCATCTTAATCCTCAGGTGTGACATTGCATCTGTATTTTGATTTTGAATTGAGGATAAATTTAGATGTCTAAGTCCGGGTCTGGATGTTTGTCTTTGTTCAATTTATATATATATATATATATATATATATATATATATATATATATATATATATATATATATATAAACTGCCTCGACGATACAGGAGAAAATCCTAATGTTTTTTCTTAAATTTCTCTATCGATTTAAAAACAACTTATAATTCCAAAATTTCTATCATAAATGTAGCATGTATTATCGAGAAAGCAGCTATAAAATAAGTTTTAAATATTAATCACTATATAATATAAATACAAGGTACATACTTGCTTAATGTATGTATAATGGGCATTTAGACCAGCTTATATAAAATGTAAACTGTCTGTTGCCTTTTACGGGCGTAATAAACAAAATAACTGTATTTTTTTCTTTTTTTGATTAAAAAAAACGAAATGGTGTAATCGAAACGGAATAGTAAATGCAATCGTCTCTTAACAAGTCTTCCACTGCAGGTCTTTAATTATTTCCATTGTAATTATTTTAAGTATAACCGCATGTTTTACTCAAATTTCCAATGCATAACCATTAATTTAATATGTTCAAAGTAAACATTTTTCCGATCTAATAATTTATTTTAACAAATGCTTGTTGTAAAACTTTGTTATGAATTAGCATATACATAATGTGTATGTATAAGTAAATGTGTAAAATGATATTTAACCTTTTATGTTTATGCATTAATAACATATAACAATTATTTGTACTCAATTACAGTTTAGAGGCAGTGTAAGAATAGTATCCCATATCGTCGTGACAGGTGACAGAGAATTGTAACAGCAGAGGGGCAGGAGCGACGCGACGTACCAATAACTAACAGAATACTCGAATAAAATACAACTGCGATTTCCAGCTCACCTGTCAAGCGTGGCAACTATAGCAAATATCCCCCTTATTATACAATCTAATGGGAGACCAATGTTCAGCAGTGAACTTTGACAGGCAGTAATGAATGAATGAGCACAACCCGTGACGTCATGACATTTTAAATTTTGGCTAACACTTGAAAAAATTTCAGTCGTTACAACGGCGGGTATTGAACTAAAGTCGCCAGCATACTATATTATACCAGACATAGGTATATAAGTTTTAAAAAAGATAAGATTTTCCGCTCGGTAAATTTGACATATTGACAGAATACGAGTGATGTTGTTATGGCCACAACACTATAGCATTATTATGCGTGTAATTATTATGAACCAGTGCTTAAATATAATCATACTCGATGGTGAGCTTGACAAAAGCTGCAACCCAGTGTGTTTGTATGTATACTATTATATCTATTATTTTATAGGTGCAAGTTCTGTTTAGTGGTGAATGATTCATTTCTATTTCACTTTCAAAACAATAAAGAATTGCCGTTAACATTAAAAAGTTTCCATCAAGGTTTCAACTGAAAGAATAAATATCTTGATAGCGTTGTATAAAATACCCATTCGACATATTGTCGGTCATAACAGGTATCACAAATCTCTGTCATGCGCTATCATAGCTACAAAAATAATTTACGAAATTCTATTTCTTGTTGTTGTTTCCTATTTTTATTTTGTTAGAAGATATTAACGTCGTATTTTTGGTGTGTGCCGTCAGAATTTCAAATTTTATATGTAATAGAGCCAAGAGTAGGGTAGGACCACGTCCTCACAGAATACCAGCGTATAATAGCAGCTTAATACTGCTGTGTTTGTATGGTGAGTGTAAAGAACCGGAGACTATTTTTACTGGAAACGAGGAATTCTATCTTAGTCACACCGAAACGTGACGCGACGCGACGTGGTGCGCACATTTTTAAAATAGTGATATAGATTGTACACAAAAAGATACACATTTTATAGAGATAATTTGAAAATGTTCCACGGCGTCGCGCTACGCAGCACTGCGCTTCGAGATGTCTCGCGGCGCGGCGTAGCGCGACGCATGGCGACGTAGCGGTGCTTTGTCGGTAGGTGCAGCGAGGCAACTCGCGGAGCAGCAAAACACCACGCGACGATTATAGTGGAGACGTCGCAGTAAGATGGTTAAAGCCATGATATGGTTATATCCCTAGGGATAAAGTTATATACCGTAATATCCGTAATATGACCGAAACGACCTAGGGGCCTTTAAGAAAAGAGCTTACTCCTTTCTAAAAGACCTACAACGCACCTGCAATTCCCCTGGTGTTGCAGTTGTTCATGAGCGGTGGTAGTCACTTAACATCAGGTGAACCGTATGCTCGTTTGCCCCCTCTTCTATAAAATTCTGCCATAAGGGCTAAATCGTTGACATATCGAAGGTGAGCAATGTAATTGCCATTGATGTTATTACCGTATATTTTTCAGTTCAGTAGCTTGAAAACGTCTTCCAATGCAGCGGCGAAGAGTTTCGGAGACATAACTGTTTCTGTAGTTGAATAGGTATCGTACTCATGTTCTGTTTTCGAATAGCCATTGTAGCCCTAATGTACAAACACTTAGGTACTTTCATATATCGACCGTCGATTTGACACCGCTGAAGGGTCTGTAACACCACCCAAATTTCGACGGAATCAAAGGCTTTTTCATAGTCCACGTATGCAAGGCAAATTGTGCTCTTCGGTCCTCTGTACAATCTGCCGCAGGGTATTTTTTTATAGAAGAGCGGCATGCGGCTCACCTGATGTTAAGTGACTATCACCGCCCCTGATCAACCGCAACACCAGGGGGAATTGCAGGTGCGTTGCCGGCCCTTTAGAAAGGATTAAGCTCTTTTGTTGAAGGTCCCCAGGTCGTATCGGTCCGGAAAAATCGCCGGTGGTAAACTATTCCACAGAGAGGTTGTACGCGGAAGAAAACTACTTTTGAAACATACAGTGGTGGACCGCCAAGCATTCAGATGGTGTGGATGGTATCGGGACGTTTGCCGCGTAGTGCGTTCACGAAATTTGGTAGCTGGGATTAATCCGAACAATTCCTCAGAGCACTACCCATGGTATATGTGAAAGAAAATACAAAGAGATGCAACATCTCTTCGCAGTGCCAGTGAATCGAGCCGATCAGAAAGCACTCGGTCGTCGACGATTCGAGCCGCTCTGCACTGAATGCGGTCAAGTGGATGGAGCTGGTACTGGGGAGCCCCAGCCCAGAAATGGGAACAGTATTCCATGTGCGGCCGAACCTGCGCCTTGTAAAGTTGCAAGCGGTGTGCCGGCATGAAATACTGTCCCGCTCTGCTTAGCACACCAAGATTTTTAGAGGCCAATTTGGCCTTCTCTTCCAAGTGACCACGAAACTGCACGTCACTCGATATGTCGACGCCGAGGATTCCGATACTGGCTAAGTCAACAAGGGGAGTGCCTTGAAACTGAGGAGATACGACAAAGGGGTTCTTTTTAGCGGTTAACGCGCAAACTTGTGTCTTCTGGGGGTTAAACTGGACTAGATTTAGTCGCCCCCAATCCGAGTACTTGGAGAAGTTTCCCCGAGAAATATTGGCATGGCCGGTGTAAAGAGCATCACCAGTGCTGTCACCTGCATATCAATGAATGTTACGGGTTTGCAACATATTATTGATATGCAGAACAAACAGCGTTGGCGATAGCACGCAGCCTTGTGGAACACCAGCATTAATAGGCTTGCAATCGGAGCTTACACCGTCTACAACGACCTTGATGCTCCGATCTGCAAGAAAGCTGGTGATCCAATCGCACAATTTCTCGGGAAGCCCATAGGAAGGGAGCTTCGAAAGAAGCGCTTTATGCCAAACCCGATCGAAGGCCTTCGCTATGTCCAAACTAACGGCCAATGCCTCCCCCTTGGACTCTACTGCCTGCGCCCATCTATGAGTTAGGTAGACCAGAAGATCACCAGCTGATTGACCACGACCAAAACCGTATTGGCGATCACTAATCAGCTGGTGATCCTCAAGGAACCTCATGAGCTGGCAGCTTACAATGAACTCCATTGTTTTGGAGAACAAAGAGGTGATGGCGATAGGCCGGTAGTTGGAGCGATCGCCTTTTTTAGGGATCGGGTGGACGAAAGCCATCTTCCACGATTATGGAACGCCTATGGAGTAGGAGTACCGGAAAAGACGCGTTAAAACCGGTGCCAACTCTGAAGCACACGTCCTCAGCACAATTGTGGGGGATTCCGTCAGGCCCACTCGATTTGTGGATGTCCAGGAAGAGGAGTGCTTTGCGAACCGAGCGCTATGTGAAATGCAGGTCCGGCATGGAGCACTCACACCGCGGGATGGTCGGCGGCGTACTCCCCCCGTCATCGAGAGTCGAGTTGGATGCAAAGAAAGAGCCTAGCAGATCGGCTTTCTCCTTTGCGGTATGGACGAGTGAATCGTCCTCCTTATGCAGAGATGAAAGAAGAGATGGCTGACAGAAATTCCCCTGGACAGCCTTGGCGAGAGACCAGAATGCACGGGTTCCAGAAGGAATGCGAACTAGTTTCTCGCCAATTCTGCCTATGTGCTCTGACTTTGCCTTGGCAATGACTCTTTTGAAGGACCTAGAGGCGGAATTATACTTCTTTTTAGAGCGCTGGTGTTTACATCCCGGGACGTTGATGCGTCAGCTCAGACTTGGTAGCACTCCTGCTTATAGCATGATGCTATTTTACAGGAGCGACCAAACCATGGCTGAGATTTGCTTCCAATGGGTACTACAGAGAAAGGAATAAAAAGTTCCATACCCTGAAGTACCACATCAGTGACAGAATCCGCAACAACGTTGGGATCGTCCGGCAACAAGCAAACCCGCCCCCAAGGGTAGGACGCAGAGAAAGACCGCGTCCCATCCCAATCGGCTGACCTATAGTGCCAAACACGGCGGCAACCTGCAGAATGCAACTGCGATTTCAGCGTGAGTGACACCACACTCCGGACAAGACAATGGTCCGAGGAGCCTAAAGGGGCGTCGACGGAAATCTGATATCCGTCCAGATGAGAGGTCAGCAAAAAGTCCAACATGGGAGGTGCATGATCCTCCACATCTGGAATCCTCGTAGGCGAGGTAACTAATTGTGTCAGACCATATGCCAAGGCAAAATCATAAACAGATCTCCCCGTATGATCGGTTAAACGTGAACCAAGCCATTCGGCGTGATGGGCGTTAAAATCGCCGAGGATCACGATCTCTGCGGAGGGGGTCTGCTTTAGCAACGAATCTGTAGCCATTTGGACGCGGTCGAAGAGTCGGTCTGTTTCGGCATTACCGCTATGGGACCTATAGAGGCACCCGTAGACGCGCGGATGGTCGTCGCTGTCTACGCGTAGCCAAAGGATGGACAGGTCCAAACCTTCAAGACGGCCGAGGGGTCGAGAACAGATGTCCCCCGAGGCGTTGAGAAGAAGAACAATTTATTCTCTCCCTTCCTTCCCTCTCTGACGTAAACGCAAACTCCAGCCCGAGGCACAAAGGAGTGTTCCAGTTTGTACCCCGGGTAGGCGAGATACGAGACATCAGCCTGAGAGGACACCTGCGTCTCGGTCGGAAAGAGTAGAGCAGGCCACGCCGTCTCGAGATGGTAGTGGAGGGTATGTATGTGGTCTTCGCTACTAAATCCTTTTCGAATACTGGCTTTTTCAGGAGGCTGGAAGTCGTCGAGTCTTGGTGCGAGAAGATTCGTAAGGCTCTCGAAAAGAGCACGTAGACGCGGATCAGAAGGGAAATCGATGTGTATTTCTTCAAGAAAGCGTTGTCGCCTTTCTTGAAGATTAAGACTACTGCATTTCTGCGCCACATCCCCGGAGTAGTGCCACCATGGAGGACAGCATTGAAGAGCTTCTGTAGGACTTTAAGTATCCGATTTCAGAAGACTCTATAACAGAAAAGCAAAAATAGCGCTGTTTTAAACTTCGATTGAGGTTGCAACTTCAAGAGGTTATTCACAGTGAGGTGTTTTGTCACCCCTTCCTTGGACTCTTGCGGTTGACCAACTATTGTACAAGATTACAGACCATCGCATCTAGTATTAAAATATATAAAAAAATATTTATTTTAAAATTTTGGCTAGGTTAATCTTGGCTGACAATATTTAAAGAAAGAAAGAAAGAAAATAACTTTATTCGTTGCTACGCTAATACAAACACATAAAAAAAAAACAAACAATTAACTCAACACAAAAAATAAACAATTAATAGTAAAAAGTATTTATAAAAAGTATTTAAATTTATGTTGGATTGCAGCAACGAAAAGGACCCGACTCAGCATTATGCTACAGCAAAGAGCCGCAGCGCTGTTATTCTGTCGGGACCACTAATCTAAAACATAACATATTTCGATTATAATATGAATATTTCGTTTTAGTTCTCTTAATAATAGATTTATTTTCTTCAGACATTTTTCCATACTTTCTACCAACAAGTTCAACTTCAATATTTGCTATTTCAACTGTCATTTTAATATATCCATCTTTCTGAATGGCATCATTTCATCATAATTTTCTTTATATAAATAGGAACCAAATTTTACTCATCACCATCGTCATTACAGCTCTCACAAGTCCATTGTTTAACATAGACCTCCCCCAAAGAATGCCACAAAGCACGGTTCTAAACCATATCCATTGACTTCCTTAATATCTTACCAGGGCTTCATTTCATCTAGGGGCAACCCCACAGTTCGCATACCGTTATTCTACATCGGTTGTCGGTTCTTCGAGCTGTATAACTGGCCCACTGCCACTTAATCTTATTAATCTGTTGGGCTGTGACGATTACTCTGGTTCGATGGTGGAGATCCTTATTTCTAAGTTTATCACGCGGAGAAATTTCGAGCATAGCCCTCTCCATAGCTCGCTGAGCGACCCTAAGCTTTTCCATACGTGCAGCTGTGGACCAGTCATCACTGGTAATACGCACTGGTTGTATAGTCTTGTTTTCAAGTTTTAGGGTATATTTGAGGGGAAAATATGTTGTGATCTCTTGAACGCTGCCCAGCTGAGTTAAATCGGTCGATTGACCTCTCCGTGGAAGTTGGACTTACCTAGTCGGACAATTTGTCCTAGGTAAACATGCTCGTTGATAACTTCGAGCTTTGTACTCCAACTACTATCGACATAGGTGTGACATGGGTCTTACAGATGACCTTTGTTTTCATCATGTTCATCTTCAGACCTATATATTGGGAGATACTATTGAGTTCATTGAGCACAGTGCTTAGGTCCTCCAACGATTCTGCCATCGTCGGAAAACTGTACTGATTTTCCTCCCGCTTTCGGAAGCCCCACTGTAATTCGATCCTCACCCTGACTTTGCCGTTGTAAGGTACTGGATAGCTATTCTAATCTCGCTCAGACTGAGAATAGTGTCGAATAAGAATTACTCTTGGCTACACTTGCGTGTGTCTCGAACGAAGACGTATACAGCTGGGCAGCTGAGTAGAACCTTTCAATCTCACTTAAAATTTCCGGTGTTCTAAAAACGATGCTACCATAATAGGTCTTCAACTTCCACAGTTGGCTCTTTCTGGCAGAAAGATCTTCGGCAAATACCTTGGAGCCTTGGTCTGTATCGATTACTTTTTCAATACGAGCTGTGTTGAAGTTGCATAAGTCTCACCGCATGCAATTGGAGATCTGTTGGTTCAGATGCTTGAATTCTGTCGTATTTGTTCAAGAGTGTAGCTTCATTTCCCATCTAACAGTCATGAAATTTAGAGTGTGATCGGAAAGCATTTGGGTTCTTCTACAACGGATCTGGCAGAACTTAGCTCCGACCGCATGGGCAGTTTCCACAAGCTCGTCATTCATATCGTTCAATATATTGCAATCTTCTAAGCATTAAAAACGGGTTTGTAATACGAGCTGGAAGGTTTGCGGCTTTGGATTAGAGCACGAAGAGGACGGAGCTTTGAATTCATTAAACTCCTCCAATTTTACGTTTAGGTTCAGTGTGCCTCTTACCACTTGGTGATCGCTGCCAGTTTTCACCTTCGCATACACTGTGATATCACCGAACAGTTGCCGTATGGTCACCATATTTAATGCCAATTTTATTTCTTGTAAAAGCGTCGGGTCTTAACCAGGTTCCCTTTCTATAGTGCCGCTGGAAAAAAAGAGTTCATCATGAAGAGTCCCCCCTTCTCCACGAAATCGATCTACTGTTGACCTCATTGGTTCTGTTGCCCTATTCGGAATTTTTCTCTCTGGAAAAATCTCTTAGGATTAGATTTGCGTTGAAGTCTGAAATCACCAAATAGTAGGTGACTCTAGAGACACCTTTATTCTGAGTAAATATATGTACCACTCCTTTACTCCACGTAGTAGCAATCTAAACGTAAAATGCATGTTGGATATTGTCAAATCCACTTGTTCAGTATTTTATATTTGGGAAATCTTACAAGGTTCCATTATTTTGCGCATTCTGCCTAAAGGCATTTTATTTGATACCTAGCAGTAAAATTAGATGGACGATTCTCAAATGAATAGACTAGTTTCGCTCTAAACATAAATTACATACTTAAAAGAGCTTGGCTACTTAAAAGAACTTAAATACTTAATGTATCATCACCATCATCATTATATCACAAATCCACTGGTTAACATAAATCTCCCCCAAAGTAATGCCACAAAGTGCGGTCCTGAGCATCTGCAGCCAATTACTTGGAATTAATGTACCGATAGATTTTTAAGTTAAATTGTTCAATTTTAGCATGTCGGTGGCGAATCCAGTATCTGAGTTTGGCCATAATTTTGGAATTTTTGTACGTTAGCGCATTTGATTTTTTTATAGAAGAGGGGGCAAACGAGCACGCGGCTCACCTGATGTTAAGTGACTACCGCCACCCATGATTGAATTGCAGGTGCGTTGCCGGCCCTTTAGAAAGGAGTAAGCTCTTTTCTTGAAGGTCCCCAGGTCGTATCGATATGATTAACTTATTTTTATGTTCTCTAAAAATTTAAACTTTCAATGAGTTTTTTGTATCATAAAGCCTTTATTTCTAACAGAGTAATGGCACAATGCAAATTTCAAGATTCACAATGGATACTTTGTCCAATATCTATCCTCGATCAAATCAAGATGTTTCGTCAATC